GTATTCAAAGTAGCTCCTTGCAATTGCACCAGATCTGGATGAGGTAAGAAGGCCACGGCAATGAGGCCTTGCTTTGTGGGCAAGGACTAGCCAATGTAGTTCTGCTTCTTGGCACTTCTCTCCCTGCTGGCCACCAACCTGGAACAAAGTATGGGCTGAGCCTTTTTCTGTTTTTCTCCAATGCCATCTGCGTAAGACTAATATAGGGATATCATCAAAGCCTATTTAGAAACAATGGAAAGGCCTTGGAGATAACTAAAATATCAAACTGTAGACACAACTTCAAATTCTCTTTCATGAATGTTTAATTGCTTCGGAGTAGCAGCATCAACAACCTGTAAGCAAGCTCTGATGTAGTCAGGCCAGTTCCCCCCAAAAGGAGTGACCCGAAGGCAGACTCTACTTGTCACTCTTGGGGACTTTTAAGCTGAATGCTGCTCTACACTAACAATAACTGCTGTGCTTCTCTGGTACACAGTGGCTGGAGATACAGTACAGAGGATAGGATGTTGGCCTTGTAGGTTTGATCCCTGACATCCTACATGGTCTCCTTAGCACCACTGGGGTAATTCCAGGGTGCAGAGCCAAAAGTTACTAGCCCTGAGCATCACTGAGTGTGGCCCTAAAACAAGAACAAAAATAAGAAAGGGCCTCCCACATAATTACTTCACTGAACCTTCATAATATGGCTTCCAGGACTATATTATTGCTTTATCAGTGAAAATGCACAGTTCCACATGAGCTTGGGAAAGGACCTACGAAATCACATTTCAGAAGAAACTCTTTATTTACCAATAATTAATACAATGGGCCATTTGCAGGTCTCAGAAAAGTCTTACCTCAAGAGTCTTACCTCAAGCCTATGAGATAGGACAGCGTCTACATGAATCTACTATGAACAATTAGATGTCTGGAAAAAAGGGGCTATGATCTCTTCCGCCTATGCTGACTTCATGTGAGAATAAGGGACTGTGGTAGCTCAATGCCATGCCTGTCATTACAGCACGGCACTCTAGAATATGAGGTGATCTGAATTTTTGAAATGAGTTCAGTCAAAACAAAAATGTGCTACAGAGCAAATTCTACATGGGGTTTTGATTTTTTTTTTTTTTTTGCTTTTTGGGTCACACCCAGTGATGCACAGGGGTTACTCCTGGCTCATGCACTCAGGAATTACTTCTGGTGGTGCTCGAGAGACCACATGGGATGCTGGGAATCGAACCTGGGTCAGCTGCATGCAAGGCAAATGCCCTACCCGCTGTGCTATGGCTCCAGCCCCAGGTTTTGAATATTTTGATCATTATTAAAAATATAAACATTCTCACTACCAATTTTTTAATATTGATCACCTGTAAAGATGGCGTTTGGGGACTACTGCATTAAATAAAACACTAAAATTAACTTCATTATTTTTATCTCTTATAGGAATGGCTACTAGACCATTACACACACACACACACACACACACACACACACACACGCAGAGTATGTGTGTATGTTTTCTTATATTCTATTGGATAGTCCTCACCATGAATGGCAGGATGATGAAGATCACCATGATGAAACGAACAGAGGCTTATCTTTAGACTTTATAGAACATGTATATCTGATGTTTGCTGACCGTGTCATTTTTAAGTAACATTCTTAACAGAGACTCCCTTTAATTGCTTACTGAGATGCAGTCTCATTAACTTAAGTTTTTTTCCTGAGTCAGATTGTCACGCATTAAATGCCATTTAGACAAGACGTGCCTTTAAAAAGCTTCATCCTGAACAGCCCTTAATCATCTATGACTTACATTTTCATAATATGCTGTCAATGATAAAATTTTGCTTTGATAACTACAATGTCTTCATTGATATACTAGCTTCACAAGAGCTGACAAAACATAAATGTCGTTCTCAAGCTCACCAAATGTCCAGATCACTAAACTATAGGAAATAGTGAGAAAAGGCAGGGCATGAAAATTAAAACAGACAGTCAAGAAGAGAGTTTTTTATCTATGCATGTGTCTCTTAGTAACACATGGAATGCTGCCACCTGCCAATCACATGGGCATTTGTGATTTGCTATTTTAGAGGCCTTAGGATAGAACGGAGAGATTACTCTCAGAAAAGAAACTTTTCAAATGCTTACCCAAAACTGCCTGCTTCCGTCCCATTATTTGGGGGGTGGTGACAGGGACGGGGTGAAACACCTTCTTACCACAATTCAGGTTTGACCGCGATTTGCAAGAAAGGAATTACACCTTTCAACTTTTTCTCTAGCCTTTTTCCACTAATTCTCAACATCATCATTCACTTTTTTTTTTAGAAAGAGGGAGTAAAACAGCTACTATATATTGGGTGCATGTGTGCACGCACTCTCTCACCCCCACCTCAATCCTTCCTTTCATTGAAATGGCTTTAATATTTTTCTCAATGCTCACCTTCAAGAAGCAGAAATGCACGTGGGGTGGGGGGAGTGAGGGAGGGGTCAAAGGTCTAATTTGGAGGCCACCTTTAGTGAACAATAAAAAATAATCAACACAAAATTAGGTATATGATCCTAAAAGTTGCCTGCACCAGCATTGGGGAGGAGATGGGGCCTCTACTTCATCTGAATTTCACCTTCAATAGAAAATTGCTTTTATCTCATAATCCATACATACATCAGAGAGAGGTGAAATTTGTTTAGCTTAGAGAAAGACACAGTTCTATTGTAAGCACTCTTCTGTTTCTGCATCTTTCCCTCTCCACAATGTATTATAGAAATCATGAAAAGACAAAAAGTATAGTTTGCTTTTTAGGTCACTGCTAGCGATACACAGGGATTATTCCTGTGCTCTGCACTCAGGAATTACTCCTGGTAGTGCTCAGGGAACTATATGGGATGCTGGGAATCGAACCCGGGTTGGCCACGTGCAAGGCAAACGGCCTATCTGCTGTGCTATCGTCCACCCCACAAAAGGTAGTTTGAATTCATTCTGAAATAACTACATAACACTCCGCAGTGTCCAGCCATGAGATTGAGCCAACCCTCCCACTTCGAACTACATAGTTCTTTTGTTTCTAGGCTCCATGAAGTGAGGGCATGGAACTTTCTTTTGACACTACTAAAAATGCCACAATAAAAAGACTTTCATAACTAAAATGACATGAATTCTAGAAAAATTTTATAAATTTCTCTAAATTTATTAAATTTGAGGGGAAAGCCAGTTTGATGGAGCTAAGTCCTTCTATACAAGAATTCACCACACTTTTTTTTTTTTTTTGCTTTTTTCGGGTCACTCTCAGTGATGCTCAGGGGTTATTCCTGGCTCTGCACTCTGGAATTACCCCTCACTGTACTTGGGGGACCATTTGGGATGCCGGGGATCGAGCTCAGGTCGGCCGCAAATGCCCTCCCCACTATGCTATCGCTCCAGCCCCAACACACATATGTTTGTGTTGTATCATGTCCCATCCACAAAGAACCTGCAACCTAATAAGAAAAATAAAGCTTGTGTGTAAATCGAGAAATGGGAAGTGCCATTTGGTAGAGAAGTCCATGTGGGATTTGACACACACAAAAGGGAAGGTGGGGAAACATTTAAGAGATGTGCATCTGGTCCTGCAGAGCACTGAATCACCCCAAAACAAGTATGAAAGATCTGGGGAGTCAGAGCACAGAGGGCACCCGGTAAGGACCCAGAAGAAGAGGCGGGCCAAGGGCGCTGGGCTCATTCATAACTAGGAGGTCAGCCTGGTCTCCGGAGCACAAAGGAAGTGACAGCCAGTTGGGGTCCAGGACCAGGTGAAGAACACTCAATCAAGTAAGCAAATCACAAAGGGAGGAAATAGACCCGGACTCGTCCAAGAGTGGGGCTGGGAGAGTCTGCAGAGAAGACAAGAGATCAGAGGCAGAAAGGAGGGAGGAAGAGCAGAGAGAAGACAATTAAGCCGAGTCCCGGCCCCTGCAAGTCGACGCAGACACGCCCTGATGAGGGACTTGTGCCCAGTTGCATAATCAGGCAGTGAGGCCACAGAGGCTCAAAACAGAAGACCTGGGTTCTGTGACAGGCGAGTTTCTTTTCAGATCTATTGTGCTCAGCATGGCAGGGTATCCCAATGGACACAGTCTGAACTAGAGCACAGAGTGTAAGGGCAGTGAGATTTCATAACTGCTCTGGAGAGCCCCAAGAAATGAGCTCATTTCCAGAGAATGCCAAGTCTCCAGGCCTTTTCCTCTCTCTGCGCAGTAACTGGCTTCCAAACTCTTTCAGTCCTGTTCAGAAAGTACCAATCCTCTAGGGGTCTCCTCAAGTGCAAGCTACCTTGGCCAGCCTTGGTCTCTAAACTGTGTAACTCAGCAGGTAAGACAGTTCCTGAAGCTTTACAATGGAAGCTCGGGGGGAGCAATTCAGTCACCCCTTAGAACTTAGTAAATGCAGTCAGATTTCCAAATGGAATGCAGGGAAGATAATAAAGGCGCAAATCCAGTTTGGCTTTAACACCTAAATTTTAAACTCAACAAATTTTCCTAACAAAATAATGTTTTAGAATTATCTTGAGGCCAGAGTGGTAGCAGACCCAGGAAGGCACTTGCCTTGCACACAGTCAACCCCAGTTCTACCCCTGGCATGGACTGTGGTCCCAGAGGCCTGCCAGGAGTGGTCTCTGAGCACAGAGCCAGGAGCAATTCCTAAGCACCATAATTCCTAAATATCAAAAAAAATTAAAATACATTTTTTTAAAAATATTTTTTCTTATAAACTAAAGGTTCAAGGTCATTGGCAGCAAAGATTTGATAAAAGAACATACATACATATGGCATTTTCTCATGAACATTCTGGAGACTCCTGATTCAAGGATAACATCAGAAATGAAAGATAAAAAGTGACAACTACAGAACAATTCCAGGATAGTTTTATTCAGTGGCCACTCATTTGCAATAATACCTAAGGACTGGGAAGGAGGGTGGGTGGGTGATAATTTAATCAATATGCAATTGTATCTTGAAAAGCTGTAAAATGTACAAACCTCATAGTGTTCATATTCATCCGCATCAAATGTCTCAAAGTCAAAAAATCCATGTTGCAATCCCTAAAAACAGAATATAGATTAGTTTTTAACATAAATTTAAAAAAATTCTAGTTATTCCTGAATTCCTATTCACAAAACAACCCTGACTTATATGAAGGTCTGAAACCTTTGATTTTTGATATGTATTAAAAAATTATCTTCTAACATTTGCTTTAAAAATGTCTAACTAATGGGACTACATGCTTGGAAAAAAGGAATAATGTACCTACAAACTACACCTGAGTTCTAAGTTATATATATGTACAAGTTAGTTTCATATATACACAAATATAATTATGTGTATAAAATGGAACATACTAATAGCAAAGTCATAGTCCAAACCAATTGGAGCTATGCAATTAATTCATACCTAATTGCAATAAAATATATAAGTAATTTACTACTCAGATAAGAAGAAAAATTGAATGATTCTTAGATTTGCTTTTCTTTTACCATTAATGGAATATCTAGCCAAGGAAGCATTCTAAACGAATTTCTGCCTTATTTGTTCCTAAAATGCCTTGAGAATGTTTGTTTTATGGAAGAATTAAAAATGTACTTGATGTTCTTAAAATGTAGACATTGGAACTGACATTTTAAAAAATACCAGAAAAAAAACCCTTCAAGACTTTGCAACTAATGACTTAGAACTTGTAAAAAAAACTATCCTGTTTGTTCAGATAAAATGTTTTCAAAGGTCAGTCTTACTCTATAACCCATAAAGCTGTACAGATTACAATAGTGCGCGAGCACGCACACACACACACACACATTTTAAGTTACATGAACAAGTCATTAAAAACAGAACTATTAAGCCAAGTCCCAGTTTCTAACTTTGAAAACACTTAAAAGTAATGTTTTTCAAAATGAAGAAGCACTTAAAAATAACTGAACTGTAAAAATACATATTCCAAGGACCATTCAAAACAAGTCAGATATTGTAAGGATAGGATTAAGATTTTCAACTTGACTTCTTAGGTGATTCTTATAATTGCCATGTCCTGGCAACACAGTTTAGATAGGCCATTAGAACAGGTATTTACACTAACTGATCTTTAAACAAAGTAACTTGTTTTAAGAAAGAATTAAAATCTATTTGCAATGAAAAGAGAAAACATAAAATAGGCCCTGAACTATGACTTTCCTTCATTTCTCTCACTTAATGTGTATTTATATACAACTAGTGTGCAATAGTTCACATACACACACACACACTACTTGTATGATATTATCAACACAACAAAATCATAAAGATTATGCTTCCACAAAAAAGCAAAAACATGACTATACTCCACATTCTGTTTTCAGAAGACCTATGGTCCTCACTGACATGAAAAAGCCCAAAGGTACAAGAGCTTAGTGCTGGGATAAAGGGATACACATGCTAACATTTCAGTATCTGTATTACAAACCATATTGTTCAAAGGGGAATTAGGGGGCAAGGGAGAGAGAGACAGAGACAGACAGAGACAGAGACAGAGACAGAGATAGAGAGACAGAGAGAGAGAAGCAACTTTTGCCTCCCATAGAGGTAGACAGGTTGGGAGCAGAGAAACTGGGGATACTGGTGGTGGGAAATGTACACTGGTGAAGGGTTTTAGAATACTGTATGACTGAAAACCAATCATGAACAACTTTATAACTGTGTATCTCGTGGTTATTCAGTTAAAAACTTTAAAACCATTAAAAAAAAAAGAAAAAGAAAAAAACCCAAGGGCTTTGGTTGAAGAGGCCAAACCAGTACCCAGCAGGAGCCAAGCCCTGCCTGTTTGGTCGCGGGTACTGCTCCTTCCTCCCCTCATCCCCAGTCTAAACACAGAGACTCAAGCTGGGACCCCAGCTGAGCAGCTCCGGAGCAGTCCCCTGACTTCTCAGAGCTAGACGCAATGCTGAGGCTGTCACTTATTTTAAAAAGCCCCAAATAAGCACCGCATGTGAGAGAGCAGGCAGACGAGCCCTTTGTCTCGGTTGTTTAAAGACGTGTGAAGCCATCTGTCAGATCCTCTAAAATCTCATTACAATTAGGAAAAATAAACCCCAGCATTTGACAAAACAAGTTCCCAGAAGATCTCGTCTGTGAACACAGGCCAACCCATCCTCTCCAGCTAGAGCAATAGCAGTAATTTCTGTATCAAACCACCAGTTTTAACCACGGCAGGATATTTTATGGTGAACTCTACTGAATTGTAAATGTGCTATAAAATAAAGAACATATAAAAAAATAAATATAATTTTTTTTTTTGCTCCTCAAGAATTTAAGTGCTGTCATTATGGATTACATTTTGGATAGTCTCTCCAGAAGAATTCTAACAGGTGTTAACTGAAAGTGTATTTGGGTGAGATTGTTTTCAGGAGGTGACCTGACATATCAAGTTTTAAATAAAAAGAAAAAGATTTCAAAACAAGTTTATAGTACATCAGTTCTTTTTGTTTGTTTGTTTGTTTGTTTTTTGGGTCACATCTGGAGATACTCGGAGATGACTCCTGGAAGTGCTCCATGGACCATATGGGATGCCAGGGATCAAACCTGGTCGGTCATGTATAAGTTAATTTTTAAATGAACTATCAAAGCCAAAAACAAAATAGGTCAGCATATTTATCATGCCAGTTTTCTCAACCCAAAATATCATATGTTAAAATAACATAATATGAGACTAACATCCAAGGACAGTAGAGACAGGGGCCAGGAAAACTGTTCCACAGTTGGAAGCTGGGGAAGAAGGCAGCTGAGATAGAGAAGGGGATCACTAAGTCAATGATGGTTGAAGGGATCGCTCAAGATGGGAGATAAAGAACCAAACATGATGGCCTCTCAGTGTCTGTGTTGCAAACCATAATGCCCAAAAGTAGAGAGAAGGTTAGGGGGAAACTGCTATACAGGCAGGGAAAGGGGTGAGATAGGGGGTGGGGGAGGGGGGATACTGGGAACATTGGTAGTGGAAAATGTACACTGGTGGAGGGATGGGTGTTAATTATATGAACTGAAACTCAAACATGAAAGCTTTGTAACTATATCTCACGGTGATTCAATCAAAATACATGTGTGTATATCATATATATATCATATCATATGTATATATATATGTATCATATCATGGTCACGGTCACGGTCCTCCCGTTGTTCATCGATTTGCTCGAGCGGGCCCAGTAACGTCTCCATCATGAGACTTGTTACTGTGTTTGGCATACCGAATATGTCACGGGTAGCTTGCCAGGCTCTGCAATGAAGTATCATATCATACATATCATGTATCATATGAACCAGGCAGGCTACCGAGAGTATCCTGCCCGCATATATGCCTGACTGGGAACACCTGTAAAGGTGATCAGAGGCTGCCCCAACAGTCTCCAACCCTCTCGGAGAGCCCGGCAAGCTACCAAGAGTATCACGTCCACACGGCAGTGCCTGGCAAGCCTCCTGTAGCGTACTCGATATGCCAAAAACAGTAACAATGATGATCCTCAGTTCCCTGACGTTGAAAGAGCTCCCAGTACGCCATCGGGCTACACTAGCACATGATTGGGACAAATGGAGACGTTACTGGCGCCCACTCGGGTAAATCGATGAACAACGGGGTGATAGTGATAGTGATGCTGTTTTCAAATTGCATCATCTAAAAGAACCAGGCTCTAAAATCACTAGTGAAACTATTTACAATCAATAGTGAAACTATTGAAACTATTTACAAATTTACTATTATTAAATTTGAAACTAGTCACAATTATCTCTGCCAATAGGATCTGTAAAATATACATTGCAAAGTAATAAATCATGGCTACATATTCAAGTTTGAAAGGTGTGCTTTGAACTTATTAGAATTTATTAGAATTCATGACATAGATTGCATGACCCTTAGATTATGTTTCTAAAATACATTGAGTCTTGAGTCTCTTAACTTCTCCAGTATAGACGAGTCACTAGGACTCTAACTTTGTGCATTAAATCATTTGTAGGGATGGTTATAACAGAGACAGTAGTTTGTGTTTGAGCCATCAGCGTCCACTTCCCCCCAACACTGTATCAGAATGCCACCCCTAAACCCTGAACTCCCTCCCACCTCATCTCTCTGCCTCCTTTTTTAAATGTACACCGAGATTGCATTTAAAATCTCACCCAGATAATCCAGGATTATTTCCCCATCTGAAGTCTGGGATGGGAACTGAGAATCTGTCTCTCTAACAAATCCCTTTCTGATGTAGGAAAACATCCTTATAAGCTTTCCGGATCCTGAATTGAAAGGACATTTGAACTGGAATTACCCCTGTGAATAACAATCTGTGCCCTGAGAGTAACTTCACCTCTTTCGGGTTGATTCCTCAGCTGTAAAAATGAAATAATATTTGCTCCACTTTCTACTTTTTCTTGGGTGTGCAATAATATCCAGTTGGAAAACACTGTGGGATGTTCAGTGTTCTGAATTTGGGCAATGTAGACATGTTCTCCTGCCTACCAGGAGAGATAACTTCCTATCACTCCTACAGCAAGACATGTAGCTTAATAATAATAATAATAATAATAATAAAGTTGAAAGGGTCTCAGAAAGGGTCATATCAGACCCTTCCTGCTTCTGTAAAGAGCTTCAGAGAAATCCCCAGCCCAGTCTGTCCAACATCTATAACTTAGAGATGACTCACTAATCGAAAACTAGAGAGCCTTCTGCTTACTGGCCCCTTCTCTCATCTCCACCAATAAATACGAATGCTGATTTTAACCGTTTTGCATATTTTTATTTGAGTCAGTTTATCAAAAAGAATCATCGTTACCTTTCTGATTCCCTGCAAACAATCGAGGATGGTGAGGTTATAAGTGCAATTTCCAAAGGAAGCATCCCTAAAAAAACAAAAAAAATTTTTAAATCTTAACATTGAAATTTTTCATTACAATATGCAGATTTAAAAAAGTACAAAAATCTAAGTTAGAGATATGCTAGCTTAATTATACATCTGTCAACCAGGTAAATTTAAATAACAGATCAGATTCTACTCGATTCTAACAACTCCTTCAGTTTAGCTGAATCTCTTCTGAAATTACTCTAATCCAGAAGGCAGAATTATAAGAGAAAGATCTAAGAGCCTGGGCTCTGGAGTCAGACTGCCTTCATTCAGGTTCCACCTCTGCCATACACTGACTGGAATCCTTCATTCCTCTGAGTCTTGGTACCTTCATCTGTGAAACGTTACTGACGTTAGCTGCCATCCTCATCATTGTTCTACAGTATGTGTTGTCTTAACGCAGTCCTTCCCATAAGAAGCACTTAATGAACACTATGACTCATTATTACTAGCCACAACAATGAACTAGGCTGTTTCATTCAGGCAAGCATTCATCATCACGAGAAATATTCTGACCAAGAGATAACCACCTGCCAAGAATATAATAAATATGATCACAAGAAGGGAAAGGGGTGGGCAGAGCAATAATACAGAAAGAAGAGCATTTTCTTTGCATGTGGCTGACCCGGGCTCAATTCCTGGCATCCCATAAGGTCCCCTGAGCACCACCAGGAGTAATCCCTGAGCATCACTGAGTGTGACCAAAAGCAAAAAAAAAAAAAAAAAAAAGAGGACCCCGCCCCCCCAGGTATTATGGGCAAAAAAAGCAAGCCATCCCATCCATCCCTGGGGGGAAGGGGGGAATAGAAGAAAGCTAAAGAAAAAGGCTGTGAGGTTTCCCAACAATCTCTTCTTCAGCTTCTAATGCAGCATGAAGTGTTCCAGCAAAAACAGTGAGACTCTTTCTGTGCCGAAAACTGAGTGCTTCATACTTAAGTTTTCAGAGCATCTTAGCAGAGCTGCTTTAGGCAACATAAAACTAAGATATCAAGTTCAGGTCAGTTAAGCAAGAACTGGCGCCGGAACTTTAGCACTAGAAATGTTCCAAGGTGTCCAAGACAAGAAACTCGACCTCAAGACTCTGGGTCTCTGCACCCAGCCCCCGCTGCTGACTCCAAGGAACAAAGCTGGCAGGCTCCTGCCAGTGACTAGTCAAAGCATGACACAAAGTGAGGTCAAGGACAGAGGGGGCAGTGTCAGAAGGTGTTCCATGGGGAGGAAAGGAACTTTAGGGGCAATGTAACAGGTAATATATAGAGTCAATCTTTTTATATCACAACCATTTGAAATCACTTGAATGAGTAGCTGAATGAATGCATGAATTAAGATCATGAGTTAAATGCACCATCATCATCACTGAGTTTCAACATCCTGGTAATGTAAAAATATAAATTAACAGACGGGAGAGGGAAGACAGAACATAAGGCACTTGCTTTGTAGCTGGCCCCCGCTTGAATCCCTGACATTACAAGTGGTCCCAGAGTACTGCCAGGGATCACTCTACTGGTCCCATTCACTGGCCAAGAGCAGGCTCTCAGTACTGCCAGGTATGGCTCAGCATCCTCCATATATATGTGTTTATATATTTAATAATATATTATACATAATACAGATTAAATATATATTTTTATAGAGATCATTTTAAAAAGTGGCTAAACAGATATAACTTTGAAGTAAACCAATCAGAAGTAGTTTTGGGGTGAGTGTGTGTGTGTGTTGGTCTCTGGGCCACACCCAGCTGTGCTCAGTGCTGACTAGCTCTGAGCTTAGAGATCACCTCTGGCAGTGCTGGAACTATATGGGTTGCTGGGGATATTGTCAGATTGTACCCATGCACTACCAAAACCCAAACAAAGGAGAAAAATGGGGGTTGAGGAGGTCAGTTTGGGCCACAGCAGTGGTGCTCAGGGCTTCCTGCTATGTTTGAACTCAGAATCACTTCTGGTGGAGTTTGGAGGACCATATGAGATGCCTGGGATTAAACCCAGTTCTGCTGCATATAAGGCAAGTGTCCTAATCACTGAACTATAACTTCTACCAAAAAAAAAAAAAAGAAAGAAAATTTTTAAGTATTTTTTAAATGGAATTCAACGAAGTCAGGGCAAATAAGAGAAAAAAATAATAATAAAATTTGAGGGGGGAAATCAGAGAGATGGGTTTAAATAAATTAGGAGACCAGGTAACTAAATACTAAACTGACAAGGGAAAAACAAATCAGAGAATCAATCCAGTTAATACCAGATAATTCTCAAGATGCTCAGAAAGTTCTCTTCTGGAATTGAGAATGGAGAAAGTGATTAAAATCGGTGGAGAGTCCATTTAAGAAGCGAAGAGGGAGTTTCTTTTTAATAACGATAAGGACACAACTTACAAATAAATTAATAAAGCTTGAAAAGCTAAGCAAGTTGGGCCAGAGAGATCACTCAGTGGGACGGAGAATAAGCTCTGCATGCAGGAGACCCAGGTTCAAGCCCCGCCCTGGCCTAATTTCCTAAGCCTTGCCAGGAACGACCTCCAAGCACAGAACTAGGAGTAGCCGCTAAGTATGTCCACGTGTGGACCACAAACCAAATCAATACATAAAAAGCAGAGTTACTTCATGGAAGAAACTTCCCTGCCATTTCAGAAACTAATCTTCCCTGCTAATTTCACCCAAGCACCCAATATAGTTAGACCCACCAAAACACAGGGTGGCCGACCCCTGAAGGCAGCAAAGCATCTGCCCTGCACAATATACAAGTTTGAAGTAGGAAGTTACAAGTGAAGGAGATTTTTAAGTGCAGTGTTACAGGGAATGGCAAAGGGGGTTAGAAAAGTATCACGCTCTTGCACCCTTTCTCTTGCTCCAGATGAAAACCCAGTAGCCACGAGCTTCCAGAAGCAAAACCCAGGTATGTGGGTTCAAGGACTAAGACCCCAGACCACATGGTGGCAACGGAGACAGGCCATCTCTTCCCATATCCCCGCCCACTTGGGGTCCTGGCTGTCACATCCACCATCTGCCTCTGGGCTCCATCTCAGCACATAAACAGCTTTGATCCAGAGACTCCCAAATGAATCTCAAAATTGATTAGCTCCCTACAGAGATGTTTCTGGACCCCAACAACTCACAATATTAGAGTTCCAGAAGCGTGCGGCCACAAAAGCGGCCACACACGCTCTCGTGATATTCATAATAAGCAATAGAAAATAAATGATCTAGCATCTGCCCAGGGCAGGCAGGCTTACATGGTGTTAAAAAAATTCCAAATAATACAATGGGAAGGTGTAATGGTGATGGGATTGGTGTTGAAATACTGACTGTAATCAATTAATGTGAACAACCTTATGAAAATAAAATTAAAAAAAAAAAAAGAAAAATATCACTCTCCATTAACCTCAACAGTGTCTTCCCACCCTAAGATCACAGCGTTATTCAGGATACTGAGGAGCTCTCTCTGCTCCCTTGTCTCTCCTGGATACTGCCTAGTGGAATTTAAATAGTCTCAGGCCTCTACTGCCTTCAAAAGAAACTAATCAAAACGTCCTGGGGTCTGCTTCAGATCTGCCTTAGTCACTGCCCTCCTCTGGCCTCCTCTTTGAAATAAGAGTTCTGGAAGAGCTCCTATTCCTGTCTCCGGTTTTCTCTCTTCTCACATCTTAACTTCTGTTCAGTTTCTACCCCCATTCAAACCATGAACTTTTCTTACTCAGGTGCCCACAAAGATCTCTGTGTTACCAAGCCCAGGAATCTCGTTTTAAAAGTGCACAACTCAGAGCTGGAGAATCAGTTCAGATGCTCGCCTTTCAAAGCACTGCACTTGATCCTCCTACAGCAATACCAGGAGTGATCCCGGAGCACAGAAGTCAGAGTGAGTCTTGAGCACTGCCTTGTGTGGCACGAAAACAAACTCAAAAAAGGGTACACAACTCAGTGATTTTTTTACTTTTTTTTTTATTTATTTATTTTTTGCTTTTTGGATCACACCCGGAGATGCACAGGGGTTAATCCTGGCTTTACACTCAGGAATTACTCCTGGCAGTGCTCAGGGGACCATATGGGGTGCTGGGAATCAAGCCCGAGTTAGCTGCGTGCAAAGCAAACACCCTACCTGCTGTGCTATCACTTCAGCCCCACAACTCAGTGATCTTTTCCCCTATTTTCACAACGTTGTGCCACCATCAACACTTATTTCAAAACCTTTTTTTTTTAAATACCAAAAGGAATTCTGCATCCATTCTGTGTCGATTTGTGGTGACTCCTCATACTCCGACCCTGGGACCAGTCACTACAAATCTTTCTGGATTTGTCTATTTTAAGCCCAGAGACTATTCTACATATTTCACCTTAGAGTAATAATAACTCTCCTTTGAGTACTCTCTTCACTAGGTGCCTAGAATTCCCTTCTACTTCTCCGAACACTAACAATACCTCCCATTCCCCTTTGCAAACTCATCAACTTCATCTTCTGATCTTTAAAAATAAGAGTTCTGCAAGGTTCATTCCAGAATCAAACTCATCTCACTCCATAGTCTCTCACTAGGTCAGGGGCTCTCAAACTTTACACCCCCTCGGAGGGTTCCTCAAAATACTGACAGACGATTCCGGGCAGGGCCTGAGAATCTGCATCTCTCACTCGTTTCCCAAGTGGCACTGATGCTGTGGGGCTGGACCACTCCATTCCACACACACTCTAAACTACATAAATCCTCACCTATCTGCCAGTGACCCTCAAAATGACCCACAAACGCCTTAGAACTCCAAAGCAGAATCGGACACAACTTCTGTGACGTATCCCTCGGATTGATGAAAGGCTTCTCAAACTCAATTGTATATGAAGCATAGCTTCACTCAGGCCCCATCTCAAAACAACAATAAACTGAACCTCCTGCATTGTCTTGCCCAAGACCCCCCACCCCAACCCACCCCCCCACAGGAGCCTAGACTAGGAACCAGAAGTCCTTCCAGCCCTTCCTCTCCTCACGGTTCCCCATTGCTTGTCCCTCTTCAAAGTCTCC